GAATGGCCCTCAATCACTTGTCATTCTCCCTTGCCCCCTTGTCATTCCTCATTTTTAATGTCCATTTTGACATTATCAAAACATAGTGCACAAACACATAACAATGTTATGATAACTAGGATTAATTAAATTTCTTATATAAGGTTATCATAACACAAGAGTTTAGAATCAAGTTTAAAAGATTTGAGATCTCAAGAAACCTTTCTGAAATGATATTTAAGCTCAAACAATGATTTAAAGCAAGTGAAATGAAGTAACAAAAGCATGAAAATAAATAACAACCCATTCAAGTATCAAAGAAGGCATTTTGGACAATCCTTAAAATACACTATCTACCACGACACATGTGTCATCTGCCGCAGTGGATGACACAAAGAGACCAACTCTCTTGTTATGCAGTGCATTCTAACACACATCCTTGCACTGCGACGTACCCTAGCTATCATAACAACACTCTGAAACTAACTTTTGGAGCGTGTCATTTCATCATACGATGTCAAATATCCACTCATGATTCTTCAAGCTACCTAGCTGTTGGCATCAATTTCACAACCATGCACCTTACTATTTAAAAGTTGGACACCCTAACACAAAATTCATCATTTTCCTTTCAAAACAACCATACGGGTATCCAAATCCACCAACCAAGTGCCAATAATCTTAGAACTACTTGAGCTAACTTAATTAAACCACAATATACCTAATTGACCAATCATACAATGACAATTACATTCCAAACATAAATTGGCATTAAAACCTTTATTTTACAATAAATCAAGGAGTGACAATAAATCACATATATCAATTATCTTGGCTATTCAAACACACAAACAATATAATAGTATCACTTGTATAAATATCTTAGCCCCTCACAACAATCTCCTCGCAATTGCATTATCATAAACTGAGATACTCACAATTCACATTTTCTCATGCGAGTGCATAAAAAAACATATGTTTCTAAGTTGGCATATTAATACAAATCATTCATTATAAACTACCAAGAGAGAAAGAGAAGACTATACAAACACAAGCCTATCAAATCTCAATGGCACCTTCATTACTTTTACCCCTGTCAAAGCCTTTACTTACAAAATATAATTACAGGGATGAGTTGAAAACTTAATAACCAAATAATCTAATTTATTCATAAGCATACTAGCAAGCATATGAGTGTGTGAATTGGCAAGTAAACAAGTTATCGAATACATGATACTCTCTCTGTTTCAAATTATAAGACACTTTTAAATGACATCTCATATACTAATAAATCTCATTAAATACATTTAATAATCTTATCTTTCTAAAACAAAAATATAAACTTTTAAAAATACCTATCATTTAATATATTGAAAAAGAAGAGACAAAAATTAATTATAGAAAGAGAAAGGATAATATTGAAATTGGTGCATTTAGTGAAACCTTAATCTATTCAAAGTGTCTTATATTTTAGGACGAAAAAACTCCTTTAAAAGTGCCCTATAATTTATGATGGAATAAGTATCATATAACAAGCTCATACAATGCATGATCATATTCTCCACCCTATACCCTTTTTATTTCATCCGACTAAATCTATGGGCTAACAATATAATAGGACCAAGTTCATATGACTAAACCAATCCAAGCTCACTAATCATAGGAGACAGCCTCGACTAAAGGCATCTTCACTTATTATAAACCATAGATTTTCCTTTTCCTCGAATATTTAAGGTGTTATATTCCTAATATCTCAAATAGTACTGAAACTTTCAAACAAAAAATAGACTATATACTAGGGCCATCATGGTGCTAGTATACCATATGAATTTTATATAAGTATTTGATAATTTTAGGGTAAACTCCCATATTCTCATAATGATCATGCTCATATAATTCCAACATTACATATCATTTACAAAAGATAATCATACAATACAAACTAGAATTTTGAATTTGTATTCAATTTCACAATTAGTATAATCACATGTAAAATAGGTTTTATGCATAGAATAATGTTAGTTCAATACCATTTCGCACAAGTTTTTTCAAAACATCAACAAGTTATGCATAATTTAAGATTTCCATAATAGAACATAAATATAATTTCTCAAACCTGTAACCACTCAAATATACAAGCAAAAGGACTAGATTATTCAATTACCTTAATTCTTTTGTCACAAAAAGGGTTACCGTGGCAAATTGATTACTCCACAATAATCTACTAGCTTGATAGAGTTTGATCAATATTTAATCTACAATATTAAACACTAATCATTGATTATTACTTTAAATAAACCCCCATTTTCACTTAATTTTGGATACCCATTATATCTAAAATACTACTCTAACACTATTAACACTTCTAACACATTATATTAATTTTATTTAACTTCTAAACACTTAAATAATATCAATTCTTCACCCACATTACTCTTAATATCTCAAATTTCACTTAGAGTTTGTCCTAGCCTTAACAAAAAATTTCAAATCATTATAAAATCCTCAAACTTAAATTTAGAAGCTTAATTTAACTTCCCAAGGACTAAGTTAATGGGTTTGATCAAAACTTAAGGAAGAACAAAAATCAACACCAATACTACCCAATCTACAGAAAATTCACATAGAGAGGGAAGAGAGTATATGGGAAGCTTACCTTAAGGTGTTACTAGCTTAGAATGCCTCTAAAACATTTAAAGAATGGAGCCTTAGCCATGAGCTCAATCTTTGTTGCCTCTTACATTTCTCTCTTTTCTCTCTTTTCTTCTCCTTCAAAATTAGATGCAGTTCTTGTCCAATTTAACCTAGAATTTAGCCTTGTGTTGCAGTGCAAGGTGCGTACATCGTGGCACATGGCAAAGTGAGACCATATGCCATTTTTTACCACCATCTTGAGCCCAGTTGACCTAAACTCCATCCAAGCTCATTTCTAAAGCTGTATAAAGACCCAATAACCTCATTAATAGTCCAAAAACACCATTAATTCGTTAATCACTCAATTTTATCAATTTATCCTTATTAAACACTTAAAACTCAAGGTTTAAAATTGAGGATGTTACACCCTTACCCACTTATAAATGCTTATTGGCCCAATAAAACATTTCAAGTTGTGAATACCATTATATAAGCATTAAAACTAGTAGTCACCATTGATATTAAGCATTTACAAAATGCAATACCCAAAATTATTGAGTCTGAAAAGGATATAACATTGTGTAAGAACGTAAGTACACAATATCCAAAATAGTTCGACCTAAAATGATATGCATAGCTTGGGTAGCTTTTCTATCTTCTCTTTCTGTCTTGGTTCGATCATGATAACATAAATGGTGGGTTTCTTCTTATTGTTATGATGATTGACAAGCCACCACATGCGTTCAACTTTTTTTCTGTATATTTTGTAAATATTTCCCCTCTCTCTTCCTTTGCTTTGGTTGAATATTCCTTCTTATTTTTATATTGTTAACTTCTCTCATGCTTTTGTCAAATTTTATTGTCCTTCCCTAGTCGATTTGTACTTGCTCTTATTTTTCTTATAGAATTCTTTAACAAATTTTGCATAACCGAAAATATTTTCCTTCCTTTCTCCCTTTGTAGAATTTACCATCTTCAATTGATTGAAAACTTAAGGAGTTTAATATTAGCAAAAATCACAATCAAAACACGTTTAACACATACTAACCACCTACATGTACTACTATATATGCATACTTGTCAATTTACAAAGTAAACTTGTTATTATCTTAATCCTACTTGTCACCAATAAATAACTTTTAGTAGTTAATGCCTTGTACACTACTTGTTAATTTTCTAATTAAATTTGTTATTGTCCTAACCTTAATTGTCACCGGTAAATAATCATTTACTAGTTAATGTCTTGTACACTATTTGTCAATTTCTTAAGTGAATTTGTTATTGTTCTAACCTTACTTCTCACCAGCAAACACCTATTTGGTAGTTAATGCCTTGTATACTACTTGTCAATTTTCTAAGTGAGCTTGTTATTCACTTACAACATACTTATCATCAGTAAATACCCATTTAGTAGTTAATGCCCTATACATTACTTGTCAATTTTTTAAGTAAACTTATTATTGTCCTACACCCTCTTTGTCGCTTCCATATACTTATTTAACAATTAATGCCCCATACATTACTTATTATTTTCTTGAGTGAATTTCTTACTATCCTACCACATATATGCATTTCACATAATCAATTATTCTAGAACCCAAACCACCAGAATGATTTTTCCATTTCACAAGATTTTCCTATGAAGCACTAAAAAGAGGGGAAAACGAACTTGGTGTCGTCAAGAGAGACAAGTATGTTTGATAGCAAATGAAAGCTTAATGATCTAAAGTCTTTGACAACAAATGCAAGCAACCAGAGTGAGGAAACACAATCGAGAGTTATGATTTATATGCAAACATGATAGTCAAGTAAGTCAAAGAATGAAAGGATGAGCGATCGTACCCTAAGTCTCGGAAGGAAATGCTGAGTTGGTCAAGATATCGACCAAGATGAAGACGTCTATTCCCTCACCAAAAAGTTGTTGAGACATGAGTAACTCAGGGGTGAGGACTCAGTGATCAGCAACAAACTTGATGACATACAAGAGTGGTGAGATAAGAGAGATTGTTTGATAAATAGTGTATAAGCTATGAGTGGGAAATTTTAATCGTGGGTTAAAATTCAAATTACATCTATTTTAATCATTTTGGCCATTTCTTATATACCCAAATTACATCTAAGGATCAAGAGACTTTAGAATAATTTTTCTATTTGATAGGACTTGACTGTATTTAAGTTTATTCTGTAGGACCCAACTGTGATTTTCCCTTAACCATTCCTTTCTTTTGTTTTTTTGTTTTTTTTTTTTTGCTTGGACCAATCTCTTTTTATTCGGCCCGTGTCTTTTTCGGCCCACTATTCGGCCCGAGTGAACTCTTCAACGTTTGTATTTTTATATAGGAAACCACCTAAAAAAAAAATTGCAACTATATATATCACCACGCCACACCCAAGAAAATACAAGAACGAACTGCAAATGTATGGAAGCTGTTTTACTGGACAGCAAGTTCGTGCCTAATACCTAATTGATGGAGGTGAACAATAGAGACCAAGGTGGAGGAGACAAAACTCGAGATCCTTTTCCTACTCGGAACCCTAGCTCTCCTCAAGCCAAAGGATTTAATGGAAAATCGTGTAAGGGATGCCTGTATTACTCATCAGTTCACAAATCTAAATCCAAGAATCCCACATGCGTTGGCTTCTCCAGAAAGCTTCAGCAAGGTCTGTTTTCGTCTGTGTTCGCTACTTTTAATCTTCTTGTGTTCTTTTTCTAATTTTTTGGAAGCTCGATACATAGTGTGCTTAGAAAATGAAGTGAAATTGTATTCATGCTTTGATGATGGGCGGAAGTTTCGAGCTTCGTTATCGGTTATGTTATGTAGTTCTTTCTGAACAACTTCAGAGGAATTCGTATCAAATCACGATCTTAACAATTTATTTACTTTCTTTGATGTACGGTAGGTTTTCTTCTGATATTTCCGGATAATTAAGAATTAACACTAAGGCTTCGGTTTTTAAGTTGGGACTTGTATATTTATCCTGAAAAATTTGTGAATGTGAATGTTTTGACAAGTTTTAGTTCCGTGTTAATGTATTTGTGTATTTCTTTGATTTTCAATGCATTTCAAAGACATTTATTTATATTTTATGGCCCTTTAAATTTCTTTTCTGGAAGTTTGGAGTGTTTCAAAGGAAGGTTAGGAAATTTTTCTTAACTCATTTTCCACATTGTCCCAGAAATTTTGGCCAAAAACCAATTAAATACTCTTATGGGTTGGAGAGCTTTATCAAGGTCTTTTTTCCTTCTTTGCTGCTCCCTTTATCTTCGACATTTTTTGGTCTGTATTTTTCTCTGAAAGCTTGAGTTGAATACAGAGAATGGAGGGAAATGAAGTTTTGAGCTTAGTTATTTCTTTGTTGACGGGATGAAGTTTTGAGGTTAGTTATTCACGTTATGATGCTTTTTCTAAAACTAACTTCCGGCCAAAAAAAAAAAAAAAAGCTAACAAAATGAAATTAGCATCAGTCTTCACTTGTACCTATTTTTGATCTTTGCGTACGCGGTTTTGAATGCATATCAAGAATCATATCAAGGTTTCGGAAAAGTCCGAAGCTACCGCAATGTAGTTTTACAGTGTTGTAGTTTGCAATTATAAGCGAACATCTCATTCCTTATTTGATTTTTTTTTTTTTGTTAATATTGGGTCTTTATTTCATGACTTGTTTTAAAATTGGTGATGTTTTGTTCGGATTTTCTTTTGGACATACAGTACCCTCCTCCGTTGTGGGAGAAACAGAGTTGGAAGCAACCAAAAAAGGCCGCAGTCTTACTGATTTCAAGTACGCGTGTGTTGGATACTCTGTCTACGTAGACAACAAAAATTCTTCAGCTAATCCAGAGGACAAAACAGCAACATTGCCCTTTTGCCTTGGTCTGGAGGTTTTTTATCTGAACCTACCCTATCTTATTTTATGTAGATGTGAACAAGGTTTATTTTGTACTGAGGATTTCCTGTAACATTATATGAAATCGAGACTTTTATTATAATGCAATGTAACTAGCGTCAATTTATTGGAGGAGCCAGACAGTAAATATGTTAGGTCCTTTACTTGAAGAAATGAAAAGTTGAGGGGCCTAATATTATGTTCTAAATATCCAAAAAGTAAAGAAAATCAGTTGGTATTGATAAATTCGGCTGCAGAGGAATGTAGCTTTGCAAGTGTTTATGCCTTTTGTTGATTCCGAATGTGTTTTCCCAAGTTACTCCTTATTGGACATTTTCATATGTCAACAAACAGATTAACTGACTTTAATAGCGTCTTATTTCTGGTTTATGTGATTGTGAGGACTAATAAAGAATTCTGATGATGGAAAAAGATATTAAGGAACCAGAATAACACAATGGTTGCTTGTTTGCAAGAGTTGCTAGGGAAAAAGAGAATGGGAGAGAGAGTTGCGTGTTGGAACAAGTAATTTTTACTATTGTTTCCAAGCAAATGTTGTTTGAGTTTCTGATGTTATTTGCACTTGTTTCAGGTGTTGCTAGATAAAGTACCTTCATCTGCGGCTGCTGGACAGGTTCCAGCCCCTAATCAGAAAAATGATGGTAATACATTTCTTGGTATCATTTTTACGCACTGCTTCTAAGTTGTTTCCTTCACTTTCAAACCCCTTCCTGTAGGTAGTACTGTTAGGATTAAAAACCTTAGCGACAGTAAATATTGGTTTTTTTTTTTTTGTTGGAAGGGGTGGGGCTGGATTCATGCAGATAATAAGTTTATGCTCTTTGAAGTCTATCCCTAAAGGCAAAAAGTTATTCATTTTTTTTTTTACGCACAGGCACCAAAGCAGTAGGGTCATCTCCTCTGTAACATGCTCTTTTCAAGCATTTCCATGATGCTGCTTGTTGTTCATGGTGTTAAACTGCTTAATACATGCTTTATCAAGATAGCAAGAAATTCCTAGCTATTTATTTAAATTAAAAAAGTTACAAACATATCTTGTGGGAACTTTCTTTTGTTTCGTCACCCTTGAAGAATATTAGTTTAATTGGAGAGTTTCCAAATATTCCACAGTTTGCTTGGAACTATTATAGTCTTTACCTATATTGCCAGTGGGCTATCTTTGCTTGCAACTGAACTTAGTGTTGACATCGTGAATGTATTGCTGGGTAAACGATGCTACGTGCAATTAAGCTGCATCATTATATCCTCGATAATATATGTATTTACTTAAGATTACCATTGTCGGAGTAAAGAGCTTATCACCAATATTAGGCAGTTGAAGCTCTTGTTCTATTGGCGATCAAGTGATTGCATTTTATACTTCCTGTTTCTTCTTTTCATTGGTCCTTATTATCTTATATTCTTATTGTTGAACGCTTTATCATTTCATGGTTGCTTTTCCTGTCTTGTGCAGAACGTGAAAATGTTCAACCGCAACCCCAACCGCAACCAAGGAGATATAAACCTCCAAGCACCACTAAAGAAGAATATTTTAACAGGCAAGTGCACAAAATATTAGCATCTACAAATTGGGGCTGGTAGAACCATATTTCACAGGTTTGCTATCAGGTTTCTTAATAAATACTAATATATATCGTTTACTGCTGAGCACTATATAATCTTTTTTTTAATTAAAAAAAGCTTTTCTTTCATGATATATAACAATCCATTACAAACATTGAGAAGAATGTCATTATCTCACTTAACTTATTGGGGGCCTTAAAAAGGTTTTATGTTAGTCTAGGTTGAAACGAAAAGGATAAGGGATTATTACGAGAATACCAAAACAAGAAGCTTTATTCTACTGGATGAGGTCAGACTATTAGGAGAATACTGACACAGATTTTTATTGTGCAGGTTTCTAAGAAATGCAGACTTGGTAGCATCAGGCGTTGTGAGAAACTTGTACAGGGTGGGCAACTACGTGAAGGATACCGTAGATGACGTTCTATATCCTTATCGCAGGCGACCAAAGTGATGCTGATTGTTTTGATTTTGATGCCAAATGAATTTCAATTTTGGATATTTACTATTTCTATCATTATCAAAGTTGACATATTGATGTGTTGCGCTTACAACAACACAAGCGACCCTTGTAATTATACGCTGTAATAAGATAATATTTCAGTTAGCAGTCAAATTTCGGGCCAACAGCCAGAGTTGGCGATCAAATAAAAATCACTTGACGTTATAGTTAACTTCAGCCAACAAAAATAGGATTATGTCACGCAGACAAAAGCAAATTCAAAAATGTTCGAGCATGTCTTTGCTAGTTCCAATAGTACACGGTATTTCAACGTTCTCCATAATCAGAAGAGGTGTTTCTGGCTCCAATAATGCAAGCGAGTGCATGCAATTTGAGGTATGTGGTTGTATATGTTGATGAATTATGATTATGTGGTTTCTTACGTCCTATATATGTTGATGATCGATGACATTGATCAGGTTTCGGTTCTACTATGTGTGTGTATGATGTGATTGTTAGAAGTATAATTGTATGTTTGACGTCTCTGTTTGGACACAATTGTCATCTATAAAACATTATGTGGATAGACGCTAGATCCAACTGAGCTCATATATATTATCATGAATCATTGCCAAAGTCACGTCATATCTCGTGCATTTCAACTCAATGCTTCTCAAGCTGTCACTATTGCGGCTATAATGGGAGGAGAAAATTAACATATTATATCATCCCCTTCGAGAAAAAGGCGTTATTTTCTTTAGTGATTGAATATTAACATGATTATGAAGTCCGTACTATCTGTGTTGCTTATAACAAATCTTAAATGTGTTACTTATAACGTGTCTTCAAGTGGCAATCTTGTTCCTTGGCCAAGGCCTTGTCAACAATATATATTTTTTGTCTTATTTATAAGTCACTATTAATATTTTTACATGAATTAAGGAAAACATTAAACTCCATTAGTTCTGTTTAAAAATTTAATAACTTTTTTATTTTACTTTTATTAAATATACATGCATTAAAAATAAATACTCTAACATTTAATAACTTTCATAATATTTAATAGAGGCAAAATGATAAAGATAAATATAATGATTATTGAGGTATTCTATAAATAGGATTTAAAAAAATTACTCTATGCCTTATGGACACGCACACAAATTGTTGTGAATTTCAGCCTCAAGCTTCGGGCTTGCGTCCTTTACAATGAATTAACTAAACTTTCCACCAATGAAAGCTACTTTAATATGGGAGCGTAATTAATCATCATTATATACCAATATATTTGTAAAATTTGGGGGGGGGGGGAATACTGTTTGAGTGGTGAACGGTGCAACTTATTTTATGTTTCATATAAAATTATCAATACATGAAACTTGCTCTAGATTTATTTGGTGATTGATTTAATCTAACAAAAAGCTTAGTTTTCATCTAACACTAAAGTATCAATGTTTTCGATGAGATTAGAAATAGTTTCTTGCATTTGCCAGATAAGTGTGGAACTTGGTTAAATTCAAGTCAAACTAAGGAATGAACAATAAGATGAGAAATACAATAAAATAAGATAAAGTAAATGACTCACATTAAACTAAAAAATATGGAATAATGAAACTTTTAGCCCTTTAAGTTTACCTTAATTATTAAATTGTGTTAGGTTGTTTAAGTATGAATAAACTTAAAATAATGTGGGAAGTTTCATATCAGATAAAATTGGGCTTAATAACTAATATATAATAAAGTGAAAGGAAGCCACATCTTAACTTAAAACTTTAAAACTCAAGATTATGAGTCCTTTCTTTTTATTATATATTAGTTATTAAGTTTAATTTTATCCAATGTGAGACTTCCCACATCATCTTATGTCCACTGACACGGGCTTAATAACTAATATATAACAAAGCAGAAGGACGCCACATCTTAACTCAAAACCTCAACACTCAATTTTATGAGTCCTTTTTTTTTATTATATATTAGTTATTAAGTTCAACTTTATTCAATGTGAGACTTCCCATATTATTTTATGTCTACTCATACTTGAACAGCCTAACAATTTTTCCCTTAAGTGTGAAACCACAAGCTCCTCATATCAAATACACCTTAAAACATGTGAGAAGTGTCCTTCCATTACTCTTGCCCTTCTCTCCTCTTCCCCTATTCCCGGGTAGTCGCTCACCATTCCTAACAAGTGGTGTCAAATTTGGGGCATCTTTAATATGGGGAGCTTATGGACTTAGGTCCTGGGCTAAACCTGACTTTGATACCACTTGTTAAGAATGGGAAGTGACTGCCCGAGAATGAGAGAAGAGAAGAGATAAGCAAAAGTAACAAAAGACTTATTAGTTGGAAAGCATCTCTCCAACCTATTTCTGTATTATCCTCAAGTCTTTCCGTTATTCTTGCCTATCTCTTCTCTCTTTCCTTTTTCGGATAGTCACTCCCCATTCCTAACAAGTGGTATTATCACACTCAAAAATGTGACACAGTGCGCAAGAGGGGGGATTCTAGCCTTCAGAGTGAAAACTAGCTGAATGAAAGTCGCCACCAAAATTTTGAAAAAAATCTTAAAAAATCAATTTTTTTTTAGCAAAACTTAAAAAAGATGGTCTACAAAATTAAAAATAGGTTCGGGATTTGATTGATTATAGGAAAGATATCAGGCACCCCACAACACTCATTTGTAAGAATGGTTACCTAAAGTTAATTGTGCTAAATTAATATGGGTTTAAAATTATTTTAATTTTTTCGTTCTTATTCATGTGTTTAAAAAATAATAATAAAATGAAGAATATTTATTAATTTATAAGGGAGGACTTGATTTAAAATTAGACTCTGAGGCCTAAGTACCTTATGATGGAGATTAAAATCTACGTAATTTGAGATTAAAAATTCGTTGGTGAAAATATTTTTTGAAGAGAAATTAATTAGAAGTAATTCACTATTTTGTAAATAAAATAATTTTTTAAAATTTTGATATGTATGTTTTAAATTGCAAAAAATAATTTAATTTCAATTATTTTTAAAAATTTTGAAATTTTGAAATAAGAAAAAAAGAGTTTAAAGATAATTATAGTATTTTATAAAATGTTATTTGAGTAAAAATTTTTGATATTTATGATAATTATACTATAATTTCTTAATTTTGATATGTATGTTTTAAATTACAAAAAATAATTTAATTTCAATTATTTTTAAAATTTTTGAAATTTTGAAATAAGAAAAAAAGAGTTTAAAAATTCTTAGTCATATTTTTTTAAAAAAAATTATTCTTTTATATAAATTCTGTAATCTTTTATTGTACAATTTCGAAAATACTCTCCAACAAATTTTTTAAAAAAATACAACATTTTAATTCTTAATAAACTCTTCTCCCGTATCAAATATTTTTTAAAATTTAGGGCAAAAATTAAAATGTAAATTATTTTTAAGACAATTTTATTATTCTAACTAACTCACTTGATTCTAGTTAACTTAATTAGAAATTATTTATAAAAAGAATTGGAATGAGTAGTCTTCCTCTTTATCCTCCCTATTAACCATGATTAAAAAATTGGGAAAATTGCTTTTTTCTTTTATCCTGCACGATACTGTAAATAAAATACTATAAAGTCTGTTGGTTTGAGTATAGCAAATTGATAATTATATTGTGAATTTATTATACTCAAATTGTCGGTGGACTTAAAAAAAATAGGATATTGTATAAGATCTTAGAACAATTATACGTAAAATTGTTTTTTAAGTAAAAATTAAGAAGAAGAATTCCCTGTATGTATGGAAAGCATCATTTGAGAAAGAATAACCTGACTTAGATTTTTTGAGAGATTAATTTTATGGTTACCAAATGTGAGATATCCTGAAAATCCAATATATATATATATATATATATATAATTATCTCTTAAATAGAGACAACTAATTATTTTTCAGCCTCAGTTACATATATAAAAAAAAAACATTTTTTTTCTGCCACAGTCAAATTTTCATGTATTCAAAAGTGGTTAGGACCTAAGGGTAATTTATTCTCTCATTCAAGATTTAGCAAGATTGATCAAAATTTAGGAATGGTCTTTTTTTTTTTTTTTTGGTATTAGGCTATTAGCTTGCCCATACGGTTGTCAATATCACCAAAATAGATCTATTTTGGCGATATATGGATGGTTGATTTTGGTAATATGGATAAATTTTAACTAGATATTTAATTTAATTTAATTTATGTTTTTTTGCAAGAATTTATATTATATTTTACTCAAACAAGTATATTTTTTCCCACAAACATTTTATAATTATAGTTGAAATAAGTTATTTTTTATATTTTATTATTGAAAATTTAACCGCTATACCTGCAAAGCCTTATTAGTTCATACGATAATATAATTATTCTAAACATTTGTGGAGATTCCAAAATCTCACACAATAAAAGAGTTTAACAACTTAATTTATTTACTTATATTTTTAAGTATTAATAATATTTTTTTAAGCATATATATATTTTTAAAGAATCTTAATCACTATATCTATAAAAACCTTATTGACTTATATGGTAATATAATTATCCTAAATATCTGTGGAGATTCAAAATTTCACACAATAAAAGGATTCATTTAACTATATTTTTAGTTTAATTAATTTATTATGTATGTATATAATTTATATATTTCTTTAGAAAACCTTAGTCGTTATATCTATAAAGTTTTATTGACTCATACGATAATACGATTATTTTAAAAGTCTATAGAAATTTAAAAATCTCACATGACCAAAAAAATTTAATAATTATTATTCAAATACATTGATTTAATTAATTAATTTTATTAAAAAATATTTATTATTTTATTTACAAAATTCATTTATTTATTTTTATATAACTTGAAAATCACAATATTTACAAAAATTTATTATCTCATATAATAATGCACTTAATTTAATTCTCTACGAATATTTTTAAAATCTCACGTAAAACTTAAATATTTTATTGATTTATTATTAAAAAAATTAATTTTAATGATAGGCCTTTGAAACCCATATTAATATATATAAGTTTGATCCTTATACTTGTAAAATCTTATTGACTTCTATGGTATGAGATCATTCTTAATGCTTACGGAGATACTTAAAATCTCACACAGAAAATAAATAAATAATGAATAAATATATTCTTTCTCATTCGTCTCTCTCTCTCTCTCTTATAAGAAAAGCTCAAATAGTAGCATATTGAACCACAACAACGAA